TCTGGGATAGAAGCTGTTTTTCAGCCAATTTGTTGGTTTTATTGTCCAGAGAGAAAGACAGAGGCAGGAGTGGGATTCAAATTTCTTAACTGGTTCTGTGGGTGTGGCCTAAGTTGTGGGTGTGGCTTGGTGATCATGTGACTGGCTGGGCATGGTTTGTATGTAAATATTATAAATATTTATGTAAATAATTGAATTTTTTATTTAAAAAAAGAGGAACTTTTACCCAAAATCAGGCAAAGCAGGCAGGCAGATTAAGTTGCTCGCAGAATCACAGATTCACTCAGAGATCTACCTTTCTGCCATCGGCTACCTGAGTCTGCACGGAATAATAGAAGCTTCAGTCCTAAGGAAGGTTCGGCTCTGCTTAAAAGCAGAGCCGAAGATCTAAAGATTAGCTAGAAAGCAAGAAAGGCAACGATTTCCTGCTTTCTAGCTAATCTAAATCTCCCGGCACAGCAGAACAGCTGATGGTCGGGGGGGAGGGGGGAAGGAAAAATAGCAACTTAGCCGGCAAGTTTGCCGGGTAAGGAGTAAGTGGGTGGGGAGGGTTCCCGCGGGCCATGTGGGCGGCGCAGTCTTGTGTTCCTGCGCAACCTGGATTAATTGCTTTTGGAGGTGCTCTGGGGGTGACATTTCTCTGAGGACCACCAAAATTTTCTTGCGGACCACCGGTTGGCGACCACTGCTGTAGGACGTTAAATTGTTGTTGTTGTTTTCAGGGGGAGAAAACGATCCAAACCGTCCCAGCCGGTGCCAAACCAGCCATCATCACTGCCACCCGGCCCATTACGAAAATGATCGTCACGCAGCCGAAAGGAATTGGCTCCGGTGTCCAGCCGGCGACCAAAATTATCCCCACCAAAATTGTATACGGACAGCAAGGGAAAACTCAGGTACGCCTTATTTTTTTTAGTCTTCAGGTGAGCAGAGTCAACATCAGGGGTGGGCAATTAATTGTACCAAGGGGTCACACGAGAAATACGAAGAACGGCTGCAGGATTTGGGAATGGCCCGTCTAGAGAAAAGAAGGACTGGGAGTTGTGGGGGACAACTCATGATAGCTGTCAACTCATAAAACATTTTATATACACGTTTTATAGATGTCAACAGAAAGGAGGGGGGAGTTTCAAGGCAGGCAGCAGTGTGGAATCGAAAGTACATTCCATTCATGTTTTCTTCAAAGACCGATTAGATGACTGAAGCTTCTGCCGTGCAAAAATCTAATTGGAGAGCATGATTGATGACTCTTGGTTATGGAGGTGTCCCATTGGAGAATATGAATTACGATACACCCAGAGGGTGGGGTGGGGGAAAACCAGGGTCAAAGGTGACAGTGAATTACGTATCTCAGAGTCGGCTACGCCCAGGCTAATGCCGGCATGTTAACTTCTAATAAATCCTTTTTAGTTTTGGGAGTGTGGCTCATGATTTAATTGGAGTAACTGCCAGAATCCTGACAGATAGCTGACTCTGAGATATGTACCGGAACAGCTTGGCTAACTGGCGGGCTGAGGGTAGTAACGGCCGGAATCCTGACAATATTCCGGTATTTGAGGGGCTGCCACAAAGAGGAAGAGGTCAACCCCTCCAAGATGGTGTAGGACAGTGATGGCTAACCTTTTTGTTGTCATGTGCTGAAAGTGTGCGCGCACACGTGCCTGCACCCATAATGCAATGTGCATGCAACAACACCCCCCCCCCATTCCCCTGCACATGCGCGGCAGATATCCGACAATCGGCTGGTGGGAGGTACATGCGCAGTGGATCTGTTCCGGGCAAGGCTCGTGTGCCAGCAGAAATGGCTCTGCGTGCCACTTCCGGCACACGTGCCATAGGTTCGCCATCACGGGTGTAGGGTCTCCTGTTTGGGCGGGAGTTGGACTAGATGGCCTATACCAGGGGGTCTTCAAACTTGACGGCTTTAAGACTTGTGGACTTCAACTCCCAGAATTCCTCCTCCAGTCATGTTAGCTCAGGAATCCTGGGAGCTGAAGTCCACAAGTCTTAAACCTGCCAAGGTGGAAGACCCTTGGATTAGAGAGAGACAGAGAGACAAGCTAGATAGATGATAGATAGGGAGATAGAAGATAGATGCTGTAGATCAGGGGTCTTCAAACTTGACGGCTTTAAGACTTGTGGACTTCAACTCCCAGAATTCCTCCTCCAGTTATGTTAGCTCAGGAATCCTGGGAGTTAAAGTCCACCAGTCTTAAGTTTGCCAAGTTTGAAGACCCTTGGATTAGAGAGAGAGACAGACAAGCTAGATAGATGATAGATAGGGAGATAGAAGATAGATGCTGTAGATCAGGAGTCTTCAAACTTGACGGCTTTAAGACTTGTGGACTTCAACTCCCAGAATTCCTCCTCCAGTCATGTTAGCTCAGGAATCCTGGGAGTTAAAGTCCGCAAGTCTTAAACTTGCCACATTTGAAGATTCTTGGCCTACACCGCTTCAGACAAATGGTTGTCCAACATCTTCTTAAAAACTTCCAGTGTTGGAGCACTCACAACTTCTGGTGGCAAGTTGTTCCATGAATTGTTCTCACTGTTAGGAAATTTCTCCTTGGTTCTAGGTTGCTTCTCTCCTTGCTTAGTTTCCATCCGTTGCTTCTTGTCTTGCCTTCCGGTGCTTTGGAGAATAGCTTGACTCCCTCTTCTTTGGGGGGCAGCCCCTCATATACTGGAACACTAAAATCTTTGGAATCCTATCAATTCATTTTTGACTGGATCCAGAGAGAAAATCTTCTTGGTCTTTTCCAGGAGAAATATCTTAAAAGACCAACAAAATTATGATGACTCTTTACAGTAATTTTCCCATTGGTTTACAGAATAACAGAGTTAAAAGGGACCTTGGAGGTCTTCTAGTCCAACCCTCTCTGTTCAAGCAGGAGACCCTGTCATGTTTCAAACAAATGGCTCTCCAATCTCTTCTCAAGAACCTCCAGTGATGGAACACCCACAATTTCTGGAGATAAATTGTTCCAGTGATTAATTGTTCTCACTGTTAGGAAATTGCTCCTTAATTCCAGGTTGCTTCTCTCCTTGATGAGTTTCCATCCGTCGCTTCTTGTCCTGCCTCTTCAGGTCCTTTGGAGAATAGCTTGACTCCCTCTTCTTGGTGACAAACCCCTGTTGTAAGCAAGGGAACTGCTAACGGAGCACAGCTTCTGGTGGCCCTATCTCCCTCCCTGTCATGCCCCTGTTGGAATCTGATTCCGAGGGAGAGGTGGAACAGCTGACGGGGAGTGGGAATGTGGCTCCAGTGGTTGTGGAGGAAACTGGGGAAGGGCATATACAAGCTAGGCATTCATAGGAAGACCCAGGCCCACCCCCTCTTCATCCTAGGGCACGTAGGGAGGAATGGATAAGGGAGCAACGTGGTTTACGGGGGGAGGAAAGGGCCCTGATCCCCTTCATGGGCTGCAGCTGGGAAGACTGTTTAAAAGGGCAAACTCTGCATGGCAAAGTTGCTGGAAGCAAAGTGTGCATTATCTTTGTCGAGGCTTATCTTGGTTTTGGCGTCCGCCCAACTGTGGGTGCTGCCTTATGTTTTGGAAGTCTGCAATTTATCATCCTGGCCTGCCGTGTTAATTACTTCATCGTGGTTTGTGTTGTTGTTGTTTTATTTCTAATTCCTTTGGGTTCGGACTGCGTTTCTTCCCTTTGTAGACTGTTTTTGGAAGAGTTTGATCTCCAGCCGAGGATAACTGGACATTGGGGGCCAAGTTGGAGGCATTAAAGGGAATTTATCTAGTTTGGTGACTTTGTTAGTTTTATGCCACACCCCGGGTCATCACAGTCCCCTTACCTTCCCCTCACCGGCTGTGGGAAAGATGTCCCTGTGGATCCTGACCCCTGAAGCCAGAACACTTTGCTTCCCTTGTAGGTCCTCATCAAACCCAAGCCAGTGACCTTCCAGGCCACGGTGGTCAGCGAGCAGGCGAGGCAGCTGGTGACGGAGACCCTTCAACAGGCCTCTCGTGTGGTAGAGACCAGCAACGCGTTCCTGCCAGAGGTGAAGGAAGAACCCCTGGTCTATACTGACAGCAGTTCCTCTTCGGTGGAGTCCATCCAAAGTTCCCAAGGTGAACGGCGTAGAGATTTGACTCAGGGGAAATCTACTGGGGTTGATGTTTGCTGGAGAAGGCCTTTTAGGTTCCCCTTGGAGTGTTTTTGTCAGTCTTTCTAGGGACAGAAACCCCTAGCCCAGGCCAGGTTGTGGTCCATCAGCCACTGGGGTTCTGACCAAGGCTTCCTGAGACGCCAACAAACACACATAAAATCCCAAACTCTTTTATTTTAGTTCCGTGGCTGTGAATAATTGTCATTGGCAGCCCAGAATGAGCCTTAACCGGTTATAATTAGTCCCAGGGACCTCTGCCAAAGTTCTTGGAGAGAACTCTGATAAGAATGCATCTTATCTGACTTGAAGTGCTGCTAATGACTAAAGTCCCCAATTAGTCTTTTAAAACCAAAACGGAGAACAAATTAAACCCGGAGCTTTCAGAGTCCCAAACTGATCAGAGCGAACAACGTTGCTTCCTGCAAAGGTTTTCCTACCTTTGCCTGTCCTTGATACCTTATGGGAGGGGCAATCACGCCTTCCTCTCGAATCGCCCCTTTTGTCTTAGCTGCTCTTGCCTTCTGGCAGCTCTGCACATACGCGCACTGGGAACAGGCTCCCCTTATTTCTCTGCCTCGCTGCTGCCAGATACTGGAGGCTCCGAAGTCAGCACATAACTCCCAGATGGTCCTCGCTCCATCTCTGAATCAGATGTAGGACCCTCGTCCGAGTCCTCCCCAGACTCCTGGACTGGTCCCTGTTCTTCCCCACTGTCCGACTCTGCTGCCGTCTCCACCGGCGAATCACAATGGGGAAAAACTGTCCTTGTGTCTAGTTGTTCCAGTGTGCAGTGCTCTACAGCGTCATTTTGAGGGTAGGAGTTGAAACAGTTTATGTCCGGGATGTGAGGGGTCTGTAGATATTTTCACAGCCTTCTTTTTGACTCGTGTAGTATGCAGGTCCTCCATGGAAGGCAGGTTGGTAGTCATTGTTTTTTCTGCAGTCCTAATTACTCTTTTGAAGTCTGTGTCTGTCTGTCTTTGTCTCAGATTCCCAGCCCGTGGTCCATGTCATTGCTTCCCGGAGCCAGGATTGGTCGGAACACGAAATCTCTGTGGATTCCAGTCCCACCATCATCTATCAAGATGTCTCCGGCGAAGCTCAGTCTGCGACGTCGACCATTAAAGCCTTACTGGAGCTCCAGCAGACGACAGGTGACTATCCGAAAACCTCGAGTTTTCCCCTAGTTGCCATGTGGAAACTCTTTGGAATTTGTCTTTTCCCTGTTACTAGCTCGATACCCGTGCTTCGCTACAGAATGATGTGGTCGGCCTTTGGAGATGGTGGAGGCTGGCAGCAGTGAGGAAGAGGTTCCCAAGGAACCTGTGCCCAGGGCACGTGCGCGCAGGGCTGCTCGAAGGAAAGAGCAGCTGCAGCAGCACAGGTGACTCGGGAGTAAGGCTGCAAGGTGATGGCCCCTCCCTTAAGGGATAAAAGCCAGCCCTCAGAGGTGGGATTCTTTGCAGGAAGCAAGGAAGATTCTTGCACTTCAAGCCTTGTGGAAGTTCGGACTATCCTGGTTTGTGTTTGGAGACTTTTGGCTTTGATTATTCCCTTGCCATTTAATCTAGTGTTCTTAGCAGCCTTGCACCACCTTGGCAAGGCTCGTTCTTATCTGGGACAATTAGTTTTTAATAGCATTTTACTGTGAATGAACTGAATTCACAGAGAAGCATTAAAAAGGTTTTGCTTTTATCTCTGTTTGGTGTTTGCTTTGAACAAGGCTTGGGTCAGAAAAGCGTGTTGGGCCCGGTCTCTGGGTGTTATGTGAATCTCATTGCATGTATACTGTGTATATACGTACAATAAGAATAAAGAATTAAAATGAAAAATGAAAATGAAAAAACGGCCTCCCCAGGCTGCGGAGGCCCTTCTGGAGCCGCTGGCAGGCCTGTTTTTTGCCCTCCAAAGGCCCCCGTGTAGGCCCTGCACTTACCTGGGCCGCGTGGAGACTCCTGGGAGGGGCGGGGTGGGAGGGGCGGAGCCAGCTGGTCAACTACCGGTTTGCTGAACCGCGTGTAAAATTAACATCCGGTTCACCCAAACCGGTGTGAACCGGTAGCAGCCCCCACCCACCCCTGGGACAACCCCTGTAGACCGTCAACCCCCCTCCCAGGCCTGTCACTTCACACACACACCCCCTTCGTTTTTGCTGCAATAGTCAAAGAGAAGTTGGAAGCCAAGCCTCGGCAGGCCACCATCGACCTCAGCCAAATGGCCGTCCCGATCCAGATGACCCAGGAGAAGCAGCATTCTCCCGAAAGTCCGTCAATTGCCGTGGTTGAATCCGAGCTTGTGGCAGAATACATCACCGCCGGTGAGTCCCTGTGGGAGATGGGTGGGCGAGAAGACAAACACCCCCCCCCCAGCAGGTGGTCTCTCTGCATGCAAGGAGAAAAGAAGGAGATCCGCTCACCTGGATCTACCGTGTTTCCCTGAAAATAAGACCCTGTCTTTTATGTGTATATATATTCACCAAAAAAAAGGGGGGGCACCAGGTCTTATTTTGGGGTGGGGGATGTCATCCACTGACTAACCTCACTTGTGCTGGTCACCCCCGGCCTCCTTTCCGCTGTCAGAGGCCTTCAGGATCTTCTGGCAAGGCTTCCCTGAAAAGCCTCCGCAGCCAAGAAGAGACCTCAGGATCGATCCAGAGCTTTCTAATCAGCCATAGAGGCCTTCAGGAAAGCCTCATCTGCCATCCTCAGGTTCGTGTGTCGGGTTCGTCTTCGTCGAACACGAGCCCTGATGATGGCAGATGAGATTCTGCCGAAAGGTCGCTACAACTTTGAAAGCACAACTATAAAGACGTGGGAAAATACCCGAACAAAGCTGAATACCATACATATAAATACCCGTGAAAACATAAGAAAACAAATATGTCTGTGTGTGTGTGTGTGTGTGTGTGTGTGTGTGTACGGACTTTATTTGTGGTACACCTCCACATTATTTTCTGAACAGTTTATTTATTTTTTAAATGAAGGTGCTAACAGACACCCACCTGACGGTTTAGTGATCGGTTTGTGTGTGTGTGTGTGTGTGTGTATGTATGGGGGTGGGTGGGTGGGTGGGGTGTTTGTGTGTTCCATTAAAATATGTGCACTGGATTTGAACATGGAGGTAAATTTCACTCTAAATCCATTTTTTTTTCATATGTCTCTTAGCAAACCGTGCGAGCATTACTGAGTTGGAGGGATTTTTTTATTAGATAGATAGAAGAAAGAGGTGGGGAGGGAGGAGGGAAAGAAGGAGGGTAAAAGAGAGAGAGAGAAAGGGAGGGGGAGGGAGAGAAAAAGAGAGAGAGAGGAAGAATGTCCATGATTTGAGTTGCAATGCTCTCCAACCCAGAAGGACACCTGGTTTGCAAACACCTGCTGGTGAGCTGCATCACTTGCTTCCTCTCTTAATTCTAATGCTTTTGTCAATCTGCAGACTCTGGAAGGCTTCACTGTGTCCCTTCGCACTCAGAGGAGTATCTTCAGAACCACATTGGTTAGATATTTTATTTTTATGGTACAGACAAGAGGGATTAAGAGAGGATGTGGGTGGTTGGGTTGGGTTGGCTTAGGTTGGGTTGGGTTGGGTTCGATTGAGTTAGGCTGGATTGGGTTCAATTGAGTAAAGTTGGGTTGGGTTGACTTAAGTAGTTGGATTGAATTAGCTTGGATTGAGTTGGGTTGGGTTGAGTTAAGTTGCCTTGCCTTGGCTTCACTTGGATTGGATTGGGTTGGCTTGAATTAGGTTGGGTTGAGTTGGATTGAGTTAGGTTGAGTTGAGTTAGGTTGGCTTGGGTTGGATTGGGTTGGTTGAATTAAATTGGCTTGAATTGGATTGCATTGGGTTGTCTTGGGTGGGATTGGGTTGGGTTGAGTTGGGTTAGGTTAGGTTGGATTGGTTTGAACTGGGTTGGGTTGAGTTGGGTTGGGTTGAGTTGGGTTGGTTGAGTTAAATTGGCTTGGATTGGATTGCATTGGGTTGGGTTGGGTTGGGTTGAGTTGGGTTGGCTTGGCAAAAATGCTGATATTGGCAACTCTGGGAGGCAGACTCATTCATTCATTGTGTGAAGGACCTCAGTGACAGTATTGCCGGTTGCTCCCGACAGTTGCTACTGTCACTTGAGAAAACTTTATGATAGAGGAGACCAGAAAGTTGCAGTCACTTTTTGTGTCTCTATGCCGATGAGTAACAAGGCTTGAAATTGGCCCAGTATAATAAACGATGAGAGCCAGGTGTGCCATAATCACAACACCAAAGTTGCTCTGTTATAGTATATTATACTGTAATACTTTTGTAACCAGGCTAAGCCTGTTGGCAGATGCGATCAGAGGCACTTCTAGATGGTTTTCTGCCCCCTCCCCTCCCCTTCCTTTATTGTTCCCTCTCTTGAACATCTGTTGCAGGCCTTCCTCCCCCTTTTCATCTGTGCTGTCTTTGATTTTTAGCCATTCAACCAGGCAGATGTCTACCTAGCAGTGACTTTCAACTTGGCCACTTTTAAGATGGATGGACTTCATCTCCCAGAATGCTGTCTCTCCCCATGCGGTCTGGGGAATTCTGGGAGTTGAAGTCCACCCATCTTTAAAGCAGTCAAGGTTGAGAAGCACCGCTTGAAGGTCTTCCTTAAAGGACTGGCCTCTGACTGCCTTTCATTCTCTTCCCCTCCTTCTCCTTCCAGTGAGCCACCGGTCCCAGTCCCACCAGCCATCGTCCGAGCCCCACCGGACCTTGCTTCAACACGTGGCCCAATCCCAGACGGCGACACAAACCTCAGTCGTGGTGAAATCCATTCCCACCTCTTCTGCAGGCGCCATCACGCACATCATGCAGCAGGTGAGCTATGTGTCCATGGAAAGGTGATGGACTTGCCAGCATTGTACAGGTGCCCGGGATACTATTCATGTGGGGTTGGTTGTTTCCTTGCAGACATTTCATTACCAAACTAGGTGACATCATCAGTGCTAGGAGGAGGGGTTTGCTCTTTTCATTACCAAACTAGGTAACATCACCAAGGCTAGAAGGGAACTGGGGTTTAATCCTCTGCAAGCAGTTGCAGATGGCAGTGGAGTCAGACAGTGAGGAAGAACGGGGACCAGTCAGGGAGTCTGGAGAGGACTTGGACGACGGTCCTGTGTCCGATGCAGAGATGGGGTCAGGACCATCTGGGAGTGGGGTGCTGAGTCCGGAGCCTTCGGAGTCTGGCAGCAGCGAGGCAGAGGAACAAAGGGAGCCTGTTCCTAGTGTGCTTATGCACAGAGCTGCCAGAAGAGAGCAGCTGAAACAAAAGGGGCGACTCGGGAGTAAGGCTGGGAGGTGATTGCCCCACCCCTAAGGGATAAAAAGTCAGACCTCAATGACGAGACCTTTGCAGGAAGCAACGTAGTTCGATCGGTTCTGAGTCACCTTTGAAGCTGTGTACTTTGGTTGGCTTTTTCTTGTACTTCGGTTGGTTTCTTTTAGAGTTAATTGGATCCTTCTGTTTTTGGCAGCATTCCATAGAACTGAAAGGTGGGTGCTTATCTTGGGGGGACTGTTTAAGATTAGCTCCGGCTGGGAATGAAAGCAATTCCCAGCGTTGCAATAAAACGGGTTTTGCTTTTAAAACCAGTTTGTGATTAATTAGGATTTGCGAAGCCTGGGTCAGAACGCTACCTGTATATAAACCAAAGGCTTAGACTTAAGAATAATTTTATTGTCACTTTGAATGTACGCTAATCGGCCATACCTTAAAACAGTGATGGCTAACCTTTTCAGCTTGGTGTGTCGAAAATCGGGAAAAAGTGTAGCCTTCCTCGGGTCGTGTGTCACTTCAAGAAATATCAATAATTTGGTTTATGACGGACTGGGCTGGGGTGATCACACAGGGCTGTGAAACTCGTCTCCCTGGTCTCAGGGCTGCAGGTGCAGGATGTGGGGATCGGAAGGCCACCTTACAGGGCTGTGAACCTCATGGATCTCCTTTCCTCCTGTAGCGTTCCTGAGGTAATGAAACTGACAAACCTCAGTTTATGGCGGTTAAAACTGGTTCTCTGCTGCAAAGATCTTGCAGCAGCGGTGACACCACGCCTCCACGCAACAAGCAGGGAGCAGGGATTGGAGCAGAGCACAGGCAGCCTCTAAATGTGCAGGTTTTCCCCACACCAACAGGCGTGTCAGTCAAAGTGCCTCGGTGTGTCACGAGTGACACGCGTGTCATAGGTTAGCCATCACTGCCTTAAAATGTTTTGGATCACATTGGGCCCAAAGATTCCCCACCAACTTTTGATTACATTCATTTGTTAGCCCCACCAGTGAGGTTGTGGGGCAGGCATGCTGACTAAGGTCGATCCGGATGGTAATTTGAGCTGATTCTGAGGAGCCCAGGATTGTTCCTAACCCTACTTTTGATGCCTTCTCTCTCCTGCCTTCCAGGCCTTGAGCAGCCACACGGCTTTCACCAAACACAGCGAGCAGCTGGGCACCGAGGAAGGGGAAGTAGAAGACACCTTGGACCCCCAGACGGGTCTCTTCTACCGGTCGGCCCTGACTCAGGTGCAGAAGCAGCAGAAGCTAAGCCAAGCCCAACTGGAACAAACCCAGCTTCAGGTCAAGACCTTGCAGTGCTTCCAAGCCAAGCAGAAGCAGACCATCCACCTCCAGGCGGAGCAGCTGGCCGGCAAGCTGCCCCAGCTCCCTCAACTCTCCATCCGACACCAGAAACTCGCTCCCCTCCAGCAAGATCTGGGCACCGCCAAGCTGGACGCCCAGCAGGCCGTCGCCCGCGAGAGGCAGCTGCCCACCTTGGTCGCCCAACCCCAACAGACTGTGGTTCAGGTGCTGGCCGTCAAAGCCACCCAGCAGCTACCCAAACTTCAGCAGGCCCCCACGGCGCAGAAGATCTACGTCCAGCCCCAGAGCCAGCTGCAGCTCCCCGCCGCGCCCGAGAAGCAGCCCACCAGCCAGGTGAGACCCCCACGAGAGGACAGGGAGGGGGATGCGGGTCCACCCCCAGGGCTGGTGACCTGACCCTCGAAATCCCACCTCGGCTTATTAGGAAGTGTGCTACCCCCTGACTCGCCCACATATCAGGGTGTTCTGACGTCGGCTTCCCAAAATCACGAAGCAGAGTCCCCCGTCCCGACAAAACCCCTTTTTTATTAGGCTAATGTGAATTCCTAGCGTTCACGTCCAGCAAAGCCCCGGCAAACAGTCTTTCAAGGTTGAGTTATAACCACAGACCTTATCAGCCTTGGAGAGTTGCCAGGCCAATAGCTTCCGAACGCAATGCTGTACAAGGAAAATAGCTGGCAAGGAGTCTGTGAGAGGCACGAACAAATCTTCACACTAATTAAACGAACTAATTGTCTCCTGCAAACACCACTCCCCTTTTGCTCCTCTTTATTCCCTATGGGAGGGGCCATTTCCCGCTGTGCCTTTACTCCCGAGTCGACCCTTGTTCCTTAATGTTCCCTTCTCCTGGCAGCTCTGCACAGGCGCACACTGGGAACAGGCTCCAGCTGTTCTTCTTCCCCACTGATCTCCGAAGGCAGCTGATAACTGTCAGTTGGCCCTGGCCCCATTTCTGCCTTCGATGCAGAGCCCTTGTCAGAGCCTTCCTCAGCCTCCAGGGCTGGCCCATGTTCCTCCCCAACCTCCTCACTGTCCGAACTTGCTGCCTGCTCTGCTGGCTGCTGGCGGGCCACAACAGGAGGCCAGATTCACTTAACAACTGCGTTACTGACTTTACAACTGCAGTGATTCCCTCTGCAATGGTGGCAAGGAGGGTCCTAAAATGGGCCAGAACTCACTAAATAACCATCTTGCTTAGCCATGGAAAATTCGGACTCAATTGCGGTCATACGCCGACGATCGCCTATGCTATGAATCTTTTGCCCAGAACAACTGAGTCAACTGGTTGAACTGCTGGCAGTCAGCAAAGTCAGCCTACAATACTGCATTCTAACCACTGGGCCACCATAGCTCCTGCCTCCTTCCTTCCTTCCTTCCTTCCTTCCTTCCTTTCCTTTCCTTTCCTTTCCTTTTCCTTTTCCTTTCCTTTCCTTTCCTTTCCTTTCCTTTCCTTTCCTTTCCTTTCCTTTCCTTTCCTTTCCTTTCCTTCCCTTCCCTTCCCTTCCCTTCCCTTCCCTTCCCTTCCCTTCCCTTCCTAAGTAGTTTACAATGTCAGCTTCTGACCCCCAACCATCTGGCTCCTCATTTCACTGACATCGGAAGGAGGGAAGTAAAGGATTATCTGGGTTCCTGGTATTTTCTCAACTGTCTGTGTTTCGCTGGCCTTTCAAGTCTGCAATTCCTTCTCCCGCCCTGTCAAGTTAATTGCTGCAGCGTGGTTTGTTTGGATTTTTTTTTTTTAACTATAAAAGAATTTTTTTTATTTTTATACAAACCTACACAAACAAAACATAAAAGCATAAAGCCATCTTCCAGTTGGTTTGGATTTTTGGTTACCGTTTGTATGTACTTTGTTTTTGGACTAAATTTCCTCCACTTAAAGGCTATTCCTTTAAAAAACTTTTTTTTCTCCAGCCCAGAAGGTAACCTTGGACATTGGGGGCAAAGTTGGAGAGAATAAAGGGACTCTTCTTGCTTATTGGACTGTGTTGCCTTTGTGCCACGGCCCTTGGGGTCATCACATTTGGATTCCTTTGAAGCTTGGCTCGAGGCTCACGATTGAATTAGGGCAATCGCCGGAACCCTGACATCCACGAGGGCCGTATGTCAAGGACTACCTGTGATGTGAATTGACCCCGCCTGTAACAAGTGTGCCATCTCCCTTTGATTTTCAGGTGCACCAGCCCATCATCACCCAAGGATCTTCTGTTACAAAGATCACTTTTGAAGGGCATCAGCCCCCCATGGTCTCCAAGGTGACCCCTCCCCTCCCGACCTTGTTTCCCGGCCAGTTGGCCGCCAAGACGGCGGTGGCGGACATTTTGAAGATGTCCATGATGGAGGCCCAGATCGAGCCCAGTGCCGGAGGGGAGGTGGCGCGCAAGACCTGCCCCCCGGCCCACCCTCCGGGCGAGGTGGAGTCGAGCCCCACCTCCGTGCTGAAGGCAGCCCCGGGAGGGGCACCCGCCCTGGGAACGGCTTCTGTCTTGCAGCAGGTGAAAACCTTGGACTCGAATTCAAGCCCTCCTGGCACGGGGCTGCCTCTCCAGGAGAGGAAGCCGAACCCCCTGGCTCAACCCACCGCCAGCCAGTTCATCCGTATCCAGAACGTCGCTGCCCCCAAAGCCGAGGAACTGGCGGCCGAAATCCTGATCCAGGTAAGGCAAGAATGAAGCCCTTTGGGTCCTGAGTGTTCAGCTGATTTGATGCTATTATCATTGAGGGAAGCCTCTGCAGCCTTTGGAGGCCGAAAAAAAGGCCCATTTCATCACTTCCTGTATTTCCGGAAATACCAGAAGTGACAAAACGGGCCCATTTTTCGGCCTCCAAAGGCTGCAGAGGCTTCCCTTGAGCCTCTGGGAGGCCGAAAAAGGCCTCAAACAGGCCGAAAATCAGCTGAGAGGCGCAGTACAGGTAAGGGGGTGGGGGCAAATTGCATGGGGGCCGCACACATTGCCTTCTGGGTGCTGGCACGCAAACGCAAATGCACACGCAAATTTTGGCACAGGAGCCCAAAAAGATTAGCCACCGCTGTTCTAGACTGTCCTTTGCCCAAAGGCTTCCTAACCTATTTCCGTCCCCCTCTTTTCCAGACAATCCCTCAGTATTCGGTGGCCTGCCATTCCACCTCCAACGTGGTGGTCGAGCCCAGCGGTCTTCTGGAGATGAACAATTTCACCAGTCAACGCCTTGACGAGGAAGACACCGTCATGGAACAGGACATGGACAGCAGCAACGAAGACGGGACGGAGCCCAGCCCGATGCAGATTTCGGAACAGACCTAGCGGCATTTCGGAGGCTGCAATGCACTTTAAGGCAAACCCGCCAAAGGCCTGCCTGTGGCTGTTGGTATCCGGGAAGCTCTTATCTCAGTTGTAAGAAGCACTTTGGTCTATCCGAACAGGCTGACATCCAGCCTTGTTCGCGGCGACAGTATTGGCAAGTCCAGGATTGCAAAACAGTTTGGGCGAGCGAGGCCTCACATCCGGTCTGGGGGCAACCCGACGACACTAGAATGTATTTTCATTGAAGGCAAGAAAGCAAATAGGACACACAGTGATTTTTTAAAATTTTATTATTATTATTATTATTTTTTCCCATTATGGTATATTGAAGTTTCGTTTGCTACGACATTCTGGATTTTCTATTGAAATATTGTGGTGGTTTTTTTGTTTTTGTTTTGTTTTTTTAAAAAAAACAGCAACAGCCACCAAACTAACCTTCCCTATTCTCTCCTGAAGCCACAAACCAGAGTTTGCCGTTGAACACGTTTTTATTGCAAAGAGTGATTTTGTTTTAAAGGTTGAAGCCTGTTTCTCTTAAAACCAATCGCAGGGAGTGTTCAGACGTGCTCTTGTAAGCAGGGAGGGAGAAGCAGAGTAGGACGCTGCTTCTCCTTTTTGTTTGTTTCGAAGTAAATGTCAACGTATTAGCTTTTAAAATGAAACTGAAGTCAATTTCAGAATATTAGCCTTTAAAACAGAACGGAAGTCAATTTCAGAATATTAGCCTTTAAAACAGAATGGAAGTCAATTTCAAAATATCAGCCTTTAAAGCAGAATGGAAGTCAATTACAAAATATTAGCCTTTAAAACAGAACAGAAGTCAATTTCAAAATATCAGCCTTTAAAGCAGAATGGAAGTCAATTACAAAATATCAGCCTTTAAAACAGAATGGAAGTCAATTACAAAATATTAGCCTTTAAAACAAAACGCGTCAATTTCAAAATATTAGGCTTTAAAACACAATATAAGTCAATTTCAAAATATCAGCCTTTAAAACAACGGAAGTCAATTGCAAAATATCTTTTAAAACAAAACGGAAGTCAATTTCAAAATATTAGCCTTTAAAATA